TCTAACTTTCGTAATTCTTCTTTCCCATTTTGATTATATTTTTCTTTGCCAGAGATAAAAAGAAGGAATTTCCTTCAAACTTTGCAGCATATTATCCTTTTGGAGTTGATGTATTCTTGTCTCAAAGAAAAATAGATCGCATTGCTAGGCTTGTGGAACTCCCTATTACTGAATCATCAGGGATTCTTCCACAAATACTTATTGTGAATTGTCAGGTATAAATTGTAATCTACTTCATGAAATGCTACTATCAACCAAATGTGTTCTTTTATGTCATTAGGGTTACGATACGTGTAAACCTAACTTTGCCATTTGAATTTTAATGTCCTGTTATAATAGTGTCTGTGCTCGATTAGCCCATTCAGATGGACATTCAATAATTGAATTTGAAACATGCTAGGGTTTGTTTTGATTGAAGCCTTTGGCGGGTAATCTTTTCTATATTGCACCTGTAGATATTATGGCGTTATGCTTTGTTTTTAAGAAGGAAAAACCCATATCATTCCAGAAAACATTACATGTATTCATTTACAAAATGAAGAGAAGGAAGCAATTAGACTGGGTCACACATGTATTCCTTCATGACCTCAATAATTGAATAAATGCTCTACTGGATTGCTACATCTAGGTGTTTGATCATATTCCTGAAAGGTAACTCCTCAAAATTTCTTAATTTTATGAATTAAGAAATTTCTAATGAGGAGTAATATTTATAATGTTTGATGACTTATTATAGCTTACTTCACCATTCAATTTCTGAAGGAAGCTTCTTTTTTTTTTTTTAATTTTCCTAAGGTTCTTTTTCCAGGTCTGTCCTCAATCATGAGGGGGTTTATTTATGCAGCCCCCATCTCTTCTTGACCATCTTAGTAATTGGCTTTTCTTTTTTTCTTATCTGCCATTTGTTTTTCCCCTTATTTCTGCCACATTGAGGGGGTTTATTTATGCAGCCTCCATCTCTTCTTAACCATCTTAGTAATTATGACTGGTACTGGTAATCTAAATTTGCAGAAACACGCAAACATTCTGGTTGTGGTTGGGAAAACATTTGATGACATGATCTTTAACATCCAGAAAAACAAATGCTGCAAGTATTTCACGTGACTGACCGATATACACCGGTGTAATGCTAATTGTTGGCTGGTTGATGACTATCCAAAACTAGTTTTGTGTTTCTTTTTCTTTCTGTTCTTCCTACTTTTGTAGTTGTCTTGTTTTATAATGATGTTCTTGTTGTAGATAAAACTTCCTACAAAGTCAAACTTAAAAGACTTGGCGACACTGATCAACAAGATGCTGAAAGAGCATGGAACCAAAACCAAAGATGAGCTCTAGGATACTTTCAAAACAACCACAGCAAGGCGGATGGCCGATGGTGATGCCAAGAATAATGATGTCTAGCGTGTACAAATAAGAATGTTGTATGGTTAAAGTGCAAAAGTGTATATTTATAGCATATTGTAATACACTTTTTTATATTGACATTGTAAAATAATTTGAGTAATAAATACAAAAGTTGATGTTTTATGAGTTTATTTATTAGTATTTCTATAATCTTCATTGAATCAGTAAAAAATAATATAATGATTATTATAATATCATTATCATATTTATATGACACCAATGTGTCGTATTTTTTATGATACCAAAATGTCACAAATTCTTATAATACTAATGTGTCATAATATTGAATCACATTAATGTGTCACAATTTACTGACACTATTATGTTATACGATCAGTGACACTATATTTAGTGTCGCTAGCCGCCACTTTCCCCGACACTTTTTTAGCGTCACAGAAACATTCAGTGACACTAAATTAGTGTCACTGTAAGCCCTTTTTCTACTAGTGGTGATGGGTTGGCGGCAGCGGCAGCTCCTCATTCTTCTCCATTTTCCGTCTTTACGGTTAGCCCGGCGAAACTCCGGCAAGCTCGTTCTCCGTCGTTTCACGATCGTTTTCAACGATTCTTTCACCGTTGGATTCCTCTCTCGAAGTGGAAAGTTTGAGAAGTATTTTCAAGGCTTGGTTCGGGCTAAAACGAAGGGTCGAAAAAACAGAGTATATATATACGTATATATGTATATACGCCGTAGGTTTTCGTCGGGGATGAATAAAATCGCAGGCTTGGCTTGCTATTTATAGGGAAAAGATGAGGGTTCCGGGCTGTGTTAGAGTTAGAGTTTGTGTTTAACTCAAACAACTTCTTCCGCACCCCATCGATAGTTTTATCTCTCGTAGGAGTTTGGAGATAAGTTTTGCCGTCAACTGGATAATATTGGAGGAGTTATACTCGTTTCAGATTCTGAATGTGGCTCTAAGGCCTTGTTTGGTTCAAAAGAGGGAAGGGAAGGGGAGAGTCAAGGAGGGAAGGGAAAGGAAGGGAGGGGGAAGGAAAGATTTTGATAAAAATTTGAGTTTGGTTGGAGGAAATAGGAGGAAAGGTTTAATGAAAATATTTCCTCAATTTACTTTTATTTGATAGCTTACTTAAAAAAATAGATACATGTCTAACTATTTTGAATATTACTCCTATGGTCATGAGTCATAATTTAATTTTATTTGATTTTTTACCTTTTTAATTTTATATTTTTCATTTTTCAGTTTGGAATTTTTAATTCTTTATTTTTTAATTTTTTTTTTAATTTTTAAAATTTATAGTTTTTTAATTTTTAAATATTTTAATCTTTAAACTTTTAATTTTTAAAATTTTTTAATTTTTCAAAACTTTTTGTTTTTTACCTTTTTATATTATAACGTTTTGTTCATTCACGTAGGAGATGGATAGTTTGTGGTTATCAACACGTTTCCTCCGAAATACCCCGATTTGGGGGGTTTAGAATGGGAGGAAGTGGAGGATTTTGAAAGCCTTCCACTTTCCTTCTTTTCCCCTCTATTTCCTTCAACAAAACACACATAAATCCTCCACTTTCCTCCCCTCCCCTCCGGAACCCTCCAACCAAACAAGGCCTTAGAGCCAAATTTAGAATCTGAAACGAGTATAACTCCTACGTAGTTTTGTACGTAGGAGTAAAAAAAATACTAGTATTTTCTTTTTCTTTTTGCACTTGGTAGATTACTTAGGTTTAAATCTTTCTTTTCTTTTTTTTTGTTTGTTGTGTACTTCGTAGGTTTAGTAGTAGGTTTTGCATCAACTATTAGTTTTATTAATACTATAAACTATAAAGTGTGCAGCACATGTGTTAGTTATTATGGTTTTAGTTGAATACATAGGTATTTTTACTTATCAGGAGTATTTTAGTTTTAGAAAAGTCAAGTTTATATTTTGTATATTTTATACACAAGTTAAAATAGTTATAAAATACAACAACAACAACATCCAAGTCTTAGTCCCAAAAGATATTGGGGTCGGCTAACATGAATCGATACATGATATCACAACCAAAAGGAAAAGAAGGAATAAAGATAAAAAGATAAGCTATTATAAAAAGACAATAAAAAAAAGATGAATATATATAAAAATGATAAAATAAAAAGGCTGCAAATAATGCTTATATATATAAGGATAAAAAAAACTAGGAAAAAAACGATGAGGGAAAAAAATTATCAAGATCACTCCTTCACGTGAATACTCGCTCTCCACTTAGTTTTCTCCAAAGTCATGCCCTCATCCAACCCCAGAAGAAGCATATAATTTCGAACTCCCCTAACCCACGTCTGTTTGGGTCTTCCTCTCCCTCTCTTCTCTGCCTCTTCTCCACACATCTCAACTCGCCTAACAAGTGCATCACTCGGTCTTCTACACACATGACCAAATCACCGTAGGCGCGACATAAAATAACTATTACTTCCTCCGTTCCATAAAAGTTGAAACATTGGAATTTCTGCACTATTCACACACCTTACTTTGACTACGCTTTTCTAATAATATATATAATAAAAATATTATGTATAAAATATTAATAAATTTGTATTAATGTAAATTTCCAATATATTAACTTTTTTTAATGTTTACTAATACGTAAATAAATATAATTACAGTCAAAGTTGCGCGTTGGCAAACGTGAAAGTCAAACTGTTGCAACTTTTAAGGAACGGAGGATAGTATTATTTATGCCATATGTATAATTGGTACTTGATATAAAACGTTACTTCTATTATCGGATCATTTTTATCAGATTAATCACGTCACAAACGTTAAATTTTTGTCTAGTTTACTTGTTTAGTAGAATGTTGTTTCTATTACTGGAATATTTTTATCTGACTAAAACGACATAAATTAATAATTTTTATCTGATTGGAATGTCACATCTATTGAATTTTTGTTTGACTCACTTAATAATTAAAATGTCATTTTCGTAACATTTTATCCCACTAATAAAAATTATTTTTATTTTTATTTATCTTTTTGGAGTGTCAAAGATGACCCCAAATCGGAGTCATGGTACATCGAGGTTGGAGATACAGCACCGGCAGCTCCATATCGAAGGGGTTGTCCATCGAGGACAGCGGATCCAGTATCTGCAGCACCCCATCAATCGAGGATGACAGAGGCAGCGGAGGCACGTCCATTGAAGACGACGGAGTAACAGCTGATTTCCGTTGCAGCAGTGGAGAAGAAGGGGCGAAGAAGAAATGAGAAGAAGAAGAATGATGCAGGTGGTCGAAGAAGAAATGAAAAGAAGAAGAAGTTGAGGGACAGCGGCGGCGATAGGAGAGCAATGGCGGCGGCAGGAGAGCGGCGACAGAAGAAGTGGTCTGGTCTAGGTCTTCTCCTTTGATTGATATCGATGGATTGCTGCAATAAAAAAGAAGAAGATGTGAAGCTACAAATGGGCTGCAAGTATACCGATGGATATGGGTCACGTTTTTGTCCACCCAAATATTAGTCATATTTGTGTCCAATAAAGGTGGCAACGAAAAAAATAGCCTCCAAGAAATCGCAAAAGTTATAGTAGGGCAAATCAAAATAGATTCCAGCCTGTAGACTATCTGCATTTTAAAGGTTAGATAAAAAACAAGATTCAAGAACAAAACGGTTGCACATCTCCCCTTATTATTCCATGATTGAAAATTGGAGAAAAACAATCCTTCTACACAATAGAAGGATTCATGGATCAGCTCATATGTCTATAGAGATGCTACTCTTATTGCTAACAACATTATAGTAAGACCCAACCATCCATTTTGTACAACAAGATAAGATCTCATCATAACGCTCCCTCATACTAACATATCAATATTTATTATAATTGGGTCGGATTTAGGAGCGGATTCCGAACTCTTTTGGGAAGAAGGCTCGAGCCTGGTTATGTCGGGTAGGGGAGATGAAGGTGCAAATTTGAGAACCTCCTTCGACTTCGCCGCCCACGGCTTGACAACTACAACCGCATCATAGTACCGCCGGACACCATTAGCGGCGCCAGCGGCGGAGATCTTGAGGTAGTACTTTATCCCGGACACCACTTGCGTCTCCGCCTCCACCACCTCCGAGAAGCTGAGCAATTCGGCTTCGCCGTGGAGGTTCTTGTTGTACTCTCGGACACAGTATTTCCCCAATTCTTGAATCTCTTGATTGCTCTTCACGTCCTTCACCTCCTTCCTTCCGCCTACCTTCCTCCCAACGGCGGCGGTTGAAGATGGCGGCGCCAAGATTAGCAACAGGAATAGGGAGAGGAGGGGAAGCTTAAGGAGTCTAACAAGTTTTTTCCCTTCCATTTTGATAAACAAAGTAAGCGGTGAGTTACGTTGGAGAGAGAGAGAGCAGCTTTGCTTCGTGTAATATTAATGGCAATAGAATGAGCAGCTTTGCGGTGAATTGGACACGTTGAAGAGGGGCAGTCGCAGTGGCAGTATCCGCGGGCCGCCGCGTTTTTCATTTATCTTTTTCGGATCCGCCCATGATTTGTATTTTGTACATGGAACAGTGGGACGAGATAAAGGGAAGGCAAATTGGCAGTGGAATATTTTCATTTTAACATTGCAGTGGTCAAGATATCAAATAGATAAAGCCAACATTTTTCGATGTATAAAGCATATAAATAATTTTCATCAAATATGTAATTTTGATTTCGCACATTAAGTTGTGTAATAATAATAAGAAAAAGTTTGAAGTTAATTTTTTAGCCGTATAAGCTGAAGTTATCGTAGAAGGTCATTTTCATTATTTTTCGTATAATTTTTTCTTTATTTTATTAATAAATTTAAAATTTAAGTATAATTTTTTTCATGAATCACCGGAATGAGTCAATACAACCATTTGAGCCACAGTTTCATAAATTTAATAAAATCAGCCAATACAATTGATTTTGGTATTATCAAATGGGCTCTATATTTTCGGCTTATCACCTTTTTTAGTAAACATTGTGTATGTATTATTGTTTCTGTGACACACACCCCCCCCCCCTCCCCCCCGATTATAGGTTTCGCTAATTAAAATTTTGAACAATTATGAATAAGATTGTTAATTTTATTGTAGTTGTAAATTTTAGCGGTCGTTAATGTAAATTATGGAGTCCACGTTGCTGAAGGACCATCTTGTGAACTCCGGGGCCGCATATTAAATTCATTTGAGACATGACGATGTTTTATATCAGCGGAATTATTTTATTTCGGATTAAAATAATTCTCTTGGAATAAAATAGGAAGATTTGGAAGGTTGGGAAAATAAATGGGGCAAGGGGCCCAAAGCCCATTTGATAGACCTAGTATAGACTATAAAACCTAGGCACTAAACCTACGCTAAAAAGGGGAGTCTGCGCAACCATTTCAAAAACTTTTGGGGACCTTTACGCTAAAATCTCCCATCCGCCGTTGAAGAAGGAAGGGACCAAAAAGGGGAGAGTTGGAGCCGGAAGTGCTATTCACGCCATATCCAGGTGAGATGTTGGCTCTATGTTTTCATACGATTTCCTTGATGTTTCGCTGATAAGGTTTATGGCGCATGCACTAAACCCAATCGGAGTTTGGTGCATGGAGCCAGAAGCTCTTTCGGGAAGTTAAGGCAAGGCTAGAAACAGGCCCTTAAGTTCATATTTTGATCTTGATGTCTTCATAATAGTTGTAGAACTCTTAAAGGCAAAACCAACGCCGTTTGTATCACAGAGATTGGACCAGCCAATAAAACATTATGGCTCATGCGCTAAACCCATTCCGGAGTTTCATGCATGAAGCCAAATACAAGTGCGCGATCTTAATGTGAGGCTAGAAACAGGCCCTTAAGTTCATATTTTGACCTCAACGTCTTCATAAGAGTTGTAGAAATATTAAAGACGAAACCAACGCCGTTTGTATCACAGAGATTGGACCAACCAATAAAAAGTTATGGCTCATGCGCTAAACTCATTGCGGAGTTTCGCACATGAAGCCAGATACAGGTGCACGATCTTAATGTGAGGCTAGAAACAGACCCTTAAGTTCATATTCTGACCTCGAGGTCTTCATAAGAGTTGCAGAACTCTTCAAGGCGAAGCCAACTCCATCTATACAATAAAAATTGGACCAGGCAATGAGGAATAATGGCTCATGCGCCATCTGGAGTATCACGCATGAAGACATGGATTTTCATGCACCATTCTCAGGTGCGCCATTCCCAGGAGAACTCCCATGCGCGATTCTCATGAGAGATTCTCATGGGCGATTCTGCATGAGCGATTCTCATGAGCGATCTTCATGCACGAAGTCGTGTGCGGAAAGAAGTTTACTTTTGAATGTTTTTTTATCTGCATAAGTGCTGCAGGACCTGACGGGAAGAATCTCATGACTTCGATATTATTGCTAGTACGGGCTAGTCAAAACCGGGACTAGGAAAGTCCAGTTAAATAAACTAGTACGGGCTAGTCAAACCCGGGACCAGGAAAGTCCAGTTGAATAAATCTAGTACGGGCTAGTCAAACCCGGGACCAGGAAAGTCCAGTTAAATAAATCTAGTACGGGCTAGTCAAACCCGAGACCGGGAAAGTCTAGTTAAATAAATCTAGTACGGGCTAGTCTGTAACACCGACCCCGAGCATATTTAATTTTAGTAAATTATGTAATAAACCTTGAAGGATGATTTAAGAAATTGCGTGATTGTAAATTTTTACTATGTCTTTTACGTGAATAGTAAATTGCATGTGGGGCCCACAGCGGGAACGGGGACCGCTCGATAATTCCCGAACCACATTATATTCATCTTGGTCTAGATGACATCTATATGGTGGTGGATATTTTATTTGGGCCATAAGAAAGGCATGGAGTTGACCGGTTGGTCAAACGGGGCCCAATTACCGGTATTGGTAATTTAGCGGATAACAGCCCGAAATGAGTTTCGGAGACTCCTAAATTAATGTTGGGGAATGTATATCTATTCTAAAGGCCCATAATTATTGGAAACGCGTAATATATTTTATCCGGCCCGATAAAATAAAACATGACTAAAACAGTCCGAGAAATACAACTTTCGGGGCCGATTATACACATCGGGGCATAAGGGGATGACCTCCCATATAAGTGGGGGCCACCCCACGACCCAATGTGCTGCAAGTGACAAGGAAGCAGCTGGGGGGTGTACCTAGTAGGTGGGAAGTCTCATAGAGACAAACACCCATACCCCTTGGCCTACCCATTTGACCTCTCTCAATTGATTGAGGAGAGTTACCTCCTACCAATAGCACCGATTCGGCCAGCAAGAAAAGGGAGAGAGAGAGAGAGAGTTCCAAGGAAGCTCTGACATAGCTCAAGTTGAGGAGGCAGGAGGAAGAAAGCCCAAGAAGAAAAGCTAGAGTAGAGGTAAGAGCTCAAGTAGTTTTTCACTTTTAACTAGTTTATTTGTGTATGATTTTTTATAAATCATATGGTGGATTAAACATGATGTTCTACACGTTTAAAAGTGTAGAATATTGATATAGAATGGTGATATTTATCTTAGAAGAGTTGTGGAATCGATAGGGGTCGAAACCGCCGGAAAACCGCCACTTCAAAGGAGCTAGTCGTAGTTGCAGACCACGAAAGCCGCCCGGCTTTCGTGAAAGCCGCCCGGCTTTGGCCCAGAAATCCAGCTTTTCTCTTTCAAACGGCTTAGAACGGGGATTTATCGAGGGGCTTATCAAAGGCAACTATTGTAGCACATCACGAGGTGAGGATGACTGACTATATTGCTTATAATTAGTGAGTTAATTTCATAAGGTTGCCTAAAGTAATTAGATGGGATTTCATGGATTATTAATGATTAATAATGCCTAAATGAAAATGATATTGATGTGAGTAAGTGAAGCATGATATACAAATTTAGAATAATTGTGTATGATTATGTGAAATAAATAAAACGGCATATTAATGGAATTACTATGATGATATCGTGATAAAATATACTTTACGCCATGTATGAAATTCATGAACGGAGTAAAGTGATATTTTTGATATTGAGATCAAACTATACTTGTGTTGGGAAATCAATTGAAATGAAAAGTCAATTGGAAAATAGGAACTTGGCATGTTCTAAGATTTTCCAATTAGTATCAAAATACTAGTCGGGGAATTAATATAAATAAATGATGAAACAAATCCTAAGAGGTAGGATTGTGAATAGATATGCCTTAAGTAGTCTCAAGAGATACTTTAAGGTTGAATTGTGTGAACACTAAGGTGATGGGGGTAGGCCTAAGGCTACCTACGGAAATTGATTCTAGGCATAGGAATTGCTTGAGAATTTAATTATGAAAATAATTAGAGTTGGACTCTAGGATGACATGGAAATGTAGTTGGGCCGAGTCCATGCCATGTAATATGATTAGCATGGAAATGTAGTTGGGCCGAGCCCTTGCCATGTATATGTGACCTCCGTGGAAACGTAGTTGGGCCGAGCTCTTGCCACGAAGTTATGGTTGGTATGGAAACGTAGTTAGGCCGAGCCCTTGCCATACAAATTTTGATATGATATATTGAGTTAGAGGATTGTATAGGAATGTAGTTGGGCCGGGCCCATGCTATACAATTGGGGCTCGATGGGACCCCACGGGGTTATCGTGACTTGCGGTCACGGGGGGAATGGAAACGATGAATTTTAAATGAATATGGGCCTACGGGCCGACTACTTGACTTTATATAAAGTAAGTACAGTTAAAAGAAAAAGGGGTAACCGAGGGTTATGGCCTATAATATAATAGTACCCTAAGTTGAGGGTCTTGGAAATTAAAACGTTGATTATACTTAGTATAGTTGCTATTGTACTTGTCAAATATTTCCAAGTACTGACCTCCCCTTCACGGGGGAGGCCACCTCACAGTTTCAAGTAGGACTTGAAGGTTGCTACCATCGCCCGTGGCTTCGGGAGGATCAAGGGGAGAAGACGTGATTCGTGCTTCTTCCGTTCTGTTTTAAAAACAATTACGTTAATGCTCATGGATATTATTTTTGAATAATTACTTTGGGGGCTTGTATGCCGAGTTATGCCAAGTGTGGCTTGAACAATTGTATTTATGATTCCGCTGTTTTAAATGAATGATTTACATTATGTTTGTTTATGGATGTACTATGTGTGAATGATATTCATGACGCCTTGTATAGTATGGATGAGTCGGACTGCGGTTGACTATTCGTACTGTACGGCGGGTTGTTGACGTGTCCGGCTAGGCCCGGGGTGTGACAATTTAATTGGTATCAGAGCCTTAGTCCGCAAACATCATAATGAAGCTTCAAAATTTCTTTTTGAAAATGAATTTGAAAACCATGAGCATAAGGTTTTGTACTTACAGAACTTTTGGTACTTAAGTTGCAATGTCTCTAATTGTTAAGATGGTATCCTTAGCAAATGGTATGGCGGTGATTTGAGCCAAAGGATGTCTTTAAGTACCTATCCGTCAATTGACATTTGATACGATGTCTTTCAGAAATGGAACGTATCGGGAAAGTAACTAGAAGGGGCTTCTAGGGTGTCCAGAGGACAGGGCCGTGGAGGCCAAGATCAGA